GAGAGAGAGAGAGAGAGAGAGAGAGAGAGAGAGAGAGAGAGAGAGAGACAGTTTGTTGGACGGCCGTGGGAAATGACGAGGTGTGGTTGGTCTGCCTGCAACATGACGTCAGATGTGTTGTGCGAGTCTGAGCCTAAGTATCATGGCGTCTGTCGATCAGGTAGCCAGTTTCCCAGTTTGTCTCTTACTGGCCCAAAAAGAACCCTGCTGTAGCCATCATCATCATCATCATCATCATCATCATCATCATCATCATCATCATCATCATCCAGTGCCAGATCGGCGACAGACATCGGAGATCATAGTTCTCCTTTCATTCCTTTGCTCGGATGCTCTTTAAAAAAGCTACGTTTTCCTGATCTTTCCCAGTTACCCTTTTGTTTAGGTTGTTCTGGGCCTCCCGCTGCCTCGTTTACCTTCAATTTTGCCAGTGAGAGCAGATGTTCAAGACCATTATGTCTATTCAGGTGCCCCAAAACTACATTTGTCGTGTCCTGATTGTTTTTAACATTGAACGCCCCCGTGGGCTTCGTCAAGCACTACCTCATTTGATTTCTTTTCCTTCCACGATATTTTCAGCTGTCTCCTAATAAATCACATTTCTGTTGCTTCTAATTTATTTTCACGGTAGTCACTGGCCCCCCAAAACAACTGTTCCCAATGTTCGACGTGTAATTTGTCCAGAAATGTCAGTCTCATTCCTGCACAGTACATCCAGAGATAAACCCCCCACACCCAGAGCCGAATGTTGAGTAAAGGACCGTAGTGTGATCTGTGTGTGTCTTCCGTTGAGTAAAGGACCGTAGTGTGATCTGTGTGTGTCTTCCGTTGAGTAAAAAACTGGAATAGAAAAATGGACCCACCTGGGGATATCCTTGGCCGTGTTCCTGTTATTCTTAAGGTCCGAATTATAAAATTCTACTCGTTAGGAACTTTACAATATCCTCAGTGAAGGTTTGCCAATCATTAATTGCGTTTTGCCCAAAGTGGGAATAAAATTATTTACTTAGATATTTCTATGTTATTTTGGCGGGTGAACACACACAATAAATTCAGGGTGTTTTTCATTCACAACTCAGCGATGCCACCTCGAAGGAGAAGTTTTTAAAATCATGTTTCTGTCGTGGGAAATCTATTCGTGTGTGACCTCATTTCTGTCTGTCTCATTGTCTCACTTACGTTCCCCTTACAAACGAGTCGACCTCCGCCCCTCCCC